AGCCTTTTTGTTTTTTTTTTTTTTTTTTTTTTTTTTTCTTTTCTCATTTATTTATTTTGTGGGGAAATGGGGAATTTCAGTCTTTATTGTGTGGTCTAGTGTTGGCTATAGGAATGGAGGAGGAGCCTATGAGAGATGCTAAAGGGAACCCTGGCATCTAATAGTGTCTGTATCTCCTTCTTACGTGGAGCAGGAAGACTGCCCTCCCACTGGTGAGCACAACCCAGTCTGCTTGGATGATTTCATCACAGGTGCAAGGCCTACATTTTTGTGTGTAAGTTTCAATTCAGGTATTTGAGTAAAACATATAAAGAAATAAACAGTAGAGTTGTTTTAAGTGTTGGTATACTGAGAGACACCTTTATGATTACCCGTGGGTAATATTGTTGACTACACTAGAATGTTGTGTTTTGAGGTGTCTTTTTTTTTTTTATTTCTATTTTAAGAAAAAAAACAAAAAACAAAAAATCTTTACTTTTTGGTCTTTTTTAAAATTATTATGCAATATTATGGAAAGTGGCCGGGCGTTGGTGGCACACGCCTTTAATCCCAGCACTCAGGAGGCAGAGGCAGGCGGGTCTCTGTGGGTTTTAGATTTTCCTGGGCTCCAGAGCCAGTGCTAGGATAGGCTCCAAAGCTACACAGAGAAACCCTGTCTCGAAAAACAAACAAACAAAAAAATTATGGTAAGCTGTTATTTTATTTTATTTTTCTTTGACACAGGGTTTCTTTGTAGCTTTGATGCCTGTCCTGGAACTCACTGGGTAGACCAGGCTAGCTTCAAGCTCACAGAGATCTGCCTGCCTTTGCCTCTGCCTCCCGAGTGCTGGGATTAAAGGCATGAGCCACCACCACACGGGTGATAAAACTTCTTTTTAGTTTGTTTGAGACATGGTTTCTCTGTAGCCCTGGCTGCCCTGGCACTTGCTCAGAGATCTGTCTGCCCCCACCTCTCAAATGCTGGGATCAGAGCTGTGAGCCACTACCACCTGGCATGACATTAATGTCTTTATGGCTGAAAAAAAAAATCCATAAATAAACTGTATTTTCTTGATTCTGTTACTGGACATCCGTGTTGGTTCCTTGACTTAGCTGTTGTGACTAGTGCTGTGGTAAACACTAATTTGACTTGGAGTCATAAGGAAAAACTAGAGGAATTGGCCTTTTAAAAAACAACAACAAAAAAAATAAACAAAAAACAGGGTTTCTTTGTGTAGCCCTGGCTGTCCTGGAACCAACTCTGTGAATCAGGCTGGCTGAAGATGGAGTTTCTGTCCCATTTGGTCCCAAATAAACACACAGAGGCTTATATTAATTATAAACTGTTTGGCTCATGGCTCAGGCTATTTGCTAGCTCTCTCTTAATTATTAACCCATTACTCTTAATCTATGTATGTCTTTGTGGCCTTATCGTACCGGAGAATGCCCGGCATCCTATCTTTCCAGTAGCTACATGGCATCTTTCTTGAGGCTCCTCTCTGCTTTCCTCTTCCCAGATTCTCCTAGTCTGGTAGCCCTGCCTATACTGGCTACTGGTCAATCAGCATTTATTCATCAACCAATAAGAGAAACCTATATTCACAGTATACTGAAGGACAGTCCCCCATGATCTCCTTTTCTGTCTAAATAAAAAGGAAGGTTACTTTAACATAGTAAAATTATATATAACAAAACAGTTATCAAGCAAGAATTATAATTGTAATATTTAGCTCACTAACATTTGGCAAAATTTGAAGAAAGTATTCTGTCATCTATCCCATCTTTGTGACTCTAAAGTTTTATATGTAACTATCTTTTATCATAACTAAGGAAAACCATAACCATAAGTATCTATCTTCAATACCTTCAAAGACCTCAGAAGGATAATATATAAACTCTAGAATTGACAGAGAAATCTCGATGCCTGGACAGTTACCCAAAGTTCCTCTGCCGTGTTGGGGCATCCATCTTCGGCCTATACGCCTAGCATCTCTGACAGACTTCTCAGTGAAGCAGGGAATTTGAAACTGTCCCGCCTGTATTGACAGCTGGCTTCAAACTCACAGAGATTGGACTGCCTTTGCCTCCTCCTGAATGCCGGGATTAAAGATGTGCACCTCCAGGACCCGGCCTCAGCTTAATTTTTAAGATAACGGTTTGTCGTTTGATTTCTCTCGAAGCAAGTAGATTTATAGTCACTTTGTCAGCTGAACTTGGAGTTTCCAAATCCATGCTGAGAATGAACTTTCGGTTCCTAGGCGTCTTGAGGCGCTGGGATAGAGACCCATTTCCCTCTTCCGGAGAAGATGACCAAAGACATGCACTGTCCCCTTGGGGGCTTTACTTTCTGCCTCTTTGACAGTAGGTTGAAGTTACTGTTGAACAGACACCATTTATGGAACTCTGCCTGGATGTTTCGACCTCAAGAACTTTTCCAGTGTTCTCTAGCACCAAAGGACTGACACCATTAGCCCCGTGAAGGACTGTGACACTATTAACTCCACAGTGTGGGTGTATAAGTAGGCTCAGAAACTAAGCCCCTGGAACTGTGAGCCATCCAGCATGGGTACTGGAAACCAAACTCAGGCAGAGCAGTCTGCTCCTAAATGCTGAGCCATCTCTCCAACCCCTGGTTTTAAATCTTTTAAGTTAAAGTGCACCATAGTCAGTGCTTAGTATCAAAACTTTGAGACCTTCAAAAAGCAAAACAAACTCAAATGACTGAGCAAATCTTGCTCCACTTGGCAGATGCTCTTTGATTTCACCATGTCCTGGATGTGGAATGAGAGACAGTTACAGTGTATTGTAAAGAATTATGCTTCATAGCTTGGTCTACAGAGTGAGTTCCAGGACACCCAAGGCTACAGAGAGAAACCCTGTCTCAAAAAACAAAACAAAGCAAAACAAACAAACAAACAAAAGAGTTAGATTCCAGGCTAGACTCTGAATCTTCACTAGCCAGTTGTGATCTTGGACAGTTTGCTTAACAATTTTACATTTTGGTCCTCCCATCTGTAAAATGGGAATAATAATAATACCTGCCTTCCTAGGGCCACCAAAAAGTTTAAAAGAGCTAACATGTTAGTGTGCTTAGAGTAGTGACTGACAGACATGATTAAGGAGCATGAGCCGTGTCAGGGAACTCCTAAGTCATATGCCTCTACCCATTAACCTGATAAGGGTGTGTATGCTGTTAACCTCAAATTCAGGACTGCTAAACCCTGTCCCAGAGCTCAGATGAAACATTAGTATTTGTTTGGTTTTGGTTTTGGTTTGTTTGAGACGGGGTCAGACTATGTAGCACTTGCTGTCCTGGAACTCTGTGTAGACCAGGCTGGCCTCTTGAATTTATGGAGATCTGGCTCCCAAGTTCCGGGATTAGAGCATGGGCCACCATGCCCAGCCCACTTAAATTTATTTTACCCATACATTATTAGAAAAAAAATGAGGAAACCCTCAAAATGAGAAAAAAAATGTATAAATCCCTTCTAGTACTATTATTTCAGAAATGTCGTAAGCTTTATCATTATGTGAAACAGGCTGTTGAAATGGCTCTGTGAGTAAAGATGTTTGCTTCCAAACCAGTGAGCTGAGTTCCATCCCTGAAACCCACACAGTGGAAGCAGAGGACCGACTCCTAAAAGTTGTCCTCTGACCTTCACCTGTGTGCCTTGCTTGGCAAGTGCATACATGCACTTGGGTGTGTGCAGGTGGGTATGTGTGTAAGCATGAATAAAAACACTGTTTTGGGAAGCCAAAGATGTAGCCCAGCCACAAAGTGCACTCGTAAGACACAGAGTCCTGGAGTTCCTCTTCAACACTGGGGGAAAACACAACTTTAATATGCTGCTATTTCCTATATTTTACTAATTACTTTTAGTGGTTACATAATATATCAAGGTAATGTTCTATAATTGACTTTCCTAGTTCCCTGTTGCTAGGTTTCTTGATTGTTTCTATTAATAATTTAGTTCTTAGTCTCAAGGGGGACATCGGGTACTATGTTGTCCTGCTGTCTTGACTCCTGGACTGATGTCACCTGCTTTAAGACAGTTACTGAGAGTGGCCCCAAATTTTCAGCCAGAGTAAATCTAACAGCACATCTGTTTGCTCCATTCTGAGTCCCCTGGTAACAGGACGTTAGTTATTTTACAGTTTGACATTGTTTATGGGACTGTGATAACCAGATTTGTGGAATGCTTCAACAGATTTGATATCTAAGATGCTTGGTGTTTTTCTGAGGCATGCTTTATTTTGTGCCCTTCTTTAAGGTAGTTAGTTGCCTTTCTGGCTCTGTCATGAAGTTAATAAGTAATTATGACACTAGAGGGATTTGGCATATATTTCTAGATACATTGTAGTTTGTTTTTGAGACAGGGCTTTGCTACATATACTTGGCTGGCCTGAACTTCCCATGTAGAACAGGGTGGCCCCAACTGAGATCTGCCTCTGCCTGGACTATAGGTGTGCACCACCAACGCTAACTGCATACGATAGTTTTAGTTCAGTTCTCCTCCTTTGAACCAAATGAATCTCTTCTAGTCAGATTTCTAATGCATGCCTAGGAAAAGATAGAAAACAAACTATGTTTTGTTTAGTGTATGTTGCAGGGGTGCTTTAAATTTAAGCTGTGCTGGGGGGCTTGAGAGACAGGTAGAATAAGGTATTAAAATCTCACAGGCATGCATGTTTCCAGTAGTCTGGATGCTGGGTGAGTTGTGGAGAACTTTTACTCTCTGGCCAGTGGTTTAGCAATAGGTATATTTGTAAACATGTTCTTTTGTAACCCAAAAAGGCATAAATTAATAGATGTCTGGTATAGGTAGTTGACAAAACTTCTTTGTTGTTGCCTTTTTTTGTTTGTTTGTTTTAGTATGTTGCTATGTAGCCCTCTGATCTGAAAGTCACAGACATCCTCCTGCCTCAGCTTCCCAAAGGCTAGAAATATAGGCATGTGTTCCTGGTAAAGTCCAGCAGGCTCTACTAATAATTCAGAGGTTTCTTTATCCTATTTTAGGGTCAGTTTTTTTTTTTTTCAAGTCCAAGCACCTATCTGCTTTACTGTATGTCATTTTCTGCAAAATGTTTGACCTTGACAAGTAAATGAAGATTTGAAGTTATGAATGGCATTTTAATGTATTAATTTGTTTAATTGGAGAATGTAAGGAAAGTGAGAATATAATTTTCCCTGTGGCCAGATAACTTTTTTGAAGTTAAGTAAATCTCATCATTGGAAAACTTATAAAAAGCCCCTCATCAACACTCAATGTTTAGAACTTTTCAGGAGAGAGCATT